AGTCTTTGTTACATCAGGTGAAAACAGATTAGCACGGAATTCGTTTACACAGTCATCAGTCCACTTGAACCTGAAGTTCTGCCCAGAGTGTGAATCGCGTGCACGTGCTTCCTTGTGGTTGTCAATGTCACCACGTGACTGAAATACACAAGTGATTGGCAGATGTGGAGACTCTGGCCTACATCCGATATCGAATCCGCTGCACAACGTAAACAAGTCACTCGACCCGATAACATAGTCTATCACACTTGTTCCGTTTGATGAGATATACGTGGAATCGCCAATTAATTTATCATTTCCAGTTCTGCCGTTAAAAATTGAGATATTCAAGCTTGCGCATAATTCTAATAATTTTTTACCATAGTTTGAAACAAAATTGTCACATGAGTACCGTCTATGTTGAATATTATCGTGTAAGAATTCGCAATAGTCCATCTTTAGAGTAGATATTATATCGTCCTCTACATAGTCTGGGTTAGTGCCGGTTCTTGCGTTGAAGTCACCACCAATCACAAGTGAGATATTACCCAGCTCTTGTAGAAGATCAGTTAGTGAGTCTTGTAGCAAGGATATACCACAATGTACGTTATTATGAGCGTACCATGGAGATGTCTCAGGGTGAATATATACAGAACCAAACAACACATCTTTTTCTGAATTAAAAAACACTTTGTCGAACAGCAGGAATACACAATTTGGAGTAATCTTAGACATTTTAACGTACTGTACTAATGGCTTCTTTACAAGCACTAATAGTCCCCCTGATGATCTACCATGAGCAGAGATTCGAACTGCATCTAGACTGTAGCACATGAACTCATCCGAGAACATATCATGGTCTTCTTCTTTGGTATTCCACGTCTCACACATGCCAATTACATCGAATGTTTCAGCATAGCTCACAAAGTCAGCATCCGATGATTTAGAAGTGAGTCCGTTGACATTCCAAAATAAAAATGTGTGATTATTGATGGTATGGACACTAACATCTGGGCCCTGGCCACACCCCTATCTCCTCCTCTCTCTCGCTTGTCTCTAGAGCGTAGATTGGGTCCAGGCTTCTGTTGCTTGCTTGATGTAGGGGCTCTGGGTCGGGCATGGTAGCAGACGACGCATCTGGCTGAGTGGGGTGGTATCTGTATTCTGCTTCTCGGTCACAAACAGTTTACCATTTTGAAATAGCGAACTTTGTTCTCAGCTTTCAAATCGTTGAGCTTCCGTCGTTGGTTTTCGTGAGGTCTGAGGAAACTCTGTATCTGTCCTCTTTAAGTCTGTCTCTCAGTTTTAAGGCCCACACTTTATTCTCTGGGTAGAGAAATTTGACTATCATGGGTCTTGGCTGGCCTGGCTTCCCCTTTAACCTGTGTGCGGCAACGATACAGTCGCTAGTGATATCATTATCACCGTCTGTGTTATGTCCATTCAAAGTGTCACGTCATACATATTTCTTACACACAGAGACTGTCTCTCGTGTTTTTCAGGTAGACCATACAGAATGACGTTGCAGCGTCTACTGTATTGTTCTTGTTTCTCCAGCATATCCTCTATACTGTCTATTTTGTCAGTAACCATGGTTATATTGACGTTGCTTGGAGACATCTCTAGGCGATCTAACCTATCTGCAACTTCGTCAACATCAGCACGTAGAATTTCCTGTCTGCATCTTAGATCTGCCAGCTCAGAGCTTATGTTATCTAGCTTGTTACTCATCTTCCCCATATCTACCTTCAGGTCTCTGATTTCCGAGGTGATATCCTGTTTCATCGTTTTAAATGCTGATAGTATTTCTTCACGAAATGAAACAACATTATCAACAGGTCCTGGGTTAAGTTCGATGTCACCAGATAGTATGAGAAGAGCACTTCGGTATATCAGAGTAAGAGTAGTGTTTACCTTTTCGTCGTTGAATGCGAGATGTGAAATCCTCCATGAACATCCATTGTGAAAGTTAATCTCAATATCCCGATAGAGCTGTGTGAGTGTACAGCCTACCATGACAATACAGAAGATCAAAGTGATTCATAACACATACTTATCACATAGTTTGAATAATACAATAGCCATTAGTCGCTGGGCCCCTAGACTGTCCAATCAATCATTGATGAACTCATCAAGCTAGCAGTTCTAAAACTTCCAGATTGGTCAAACCTTCTCACTTATCCTCAGATGAAACAGAAGCATCAAAACCAGAGTGTCTTTGATCTGCACGCATGGAGCATATCAAGAACTTGGCTATTCCAGCAGTGCAGCAGTCTCCCTGTCTCTATGCAGATCTACCAGAAGCCTGTATGATGATAAGTGGAAGAGTCTTGACCAATTTGCCAGAAGTAAGGGGATTCCAGCAGATATACAACCTCAGAACCTCAAACAATTTCAAGACGGGGCTCAATCTTAGCACCCATCAGCTCTGTCATCACCATGGTGAAGGCTCCAAACTCACTCAGGATGTCTGAATTCCCTTCTGTAGACCTCAGCCTCACCAGATTTGATAAAGGTTCCCAATGCATCAGTGCATCTTGACCTCCGTTTGGATTTTATTGCCAAAAAATCAGCCAGTCCCACATTTTCACATCCCACTATTATCTTCAATACTTGGCAATGAAGATAAGGAAGACTTATTACTGCGTCTGGACAGAGTCCCACGCGTCTATCTACGTAGAATGAGCACCAGACGTCAGAAGGTAAGACGATTCTTCATCCCGCTCATGAGAGATGTCACAGCAGAAATATCCCAAACAACTATATCCTTCTGGATGTGATCGGTGATACTTCGAGCATACAGAGATATAGGCTAAGAACCTCCCTCAGCTTCCAACCCACACGAAGTAGGAGCACTATATGGCAATTGCTCTTTCCCTACCATCATGGAAGGATGCTTTGGGAATATTTTTCTTTTTATGTTTAATCACTTTTGTTTGAGATTATTTGCGAAGAAAAACTCAATTTATGCCATCCCATCAACACATGTACAGCTTGTCAAATGGGCGGCTTACCAGGCAGGTTATGTATGGGGTCAGTCATTCTTCCACAGCCTGAACTCCCATTTCCAAGTGAGTGGGGTTGAATGCAGAAGGAAAGTGGACAGTATGTTCCCTACTGGACGACACTACACCAGGCATCACAATCTTGGCATGTGTTGGTATCTTGTCTTTACAAAGGGTTGTAAAGCCGCTGCAAGTGCAAACAGTCCTCACTTACATGCACTGGCCAGCGTTCATAACATTGACTCAGCTATATTTTCAAGATGTTTAACCGGTATTTTGGTTCAGTATTTTTAAAAAAAAGTCGCCCCATTAGTGTACTGATGGCAGGCCCAAGGCTATAACGGTAGCCAGAAAAGACAAAATATTATTTATCTACTGTGCATACGCAAATTAAATTTTGAGTGCCTCCAAATCCTAAAATGTTCACTATGCATCAGTCGATAAATGTGCAATGTTTCATGCTTTTATCATTAAATGCACATTTTATCTGCTTAGCCGCTCCACTAAAGGAATATTTGCTATGTGCGAGAATCTATTATGATTATGGAAAAAAAATCTGCCGGTTTCCTATCACATGTGTTTTATCTCATCGTCAAAGAAAATTAAGCAAATAGCAACTTTATCTAAAATTTGTTCGTTTTAGTTTGCTTGATATCCGAACTTTACCGAGCATATAATTTTAACTACATCCATTGCAAATATAAACATATCCGTTCATTATATAGTTCATTAAATATAGTTAAAATGTAAGTATTCTGACAAACGTCAGTGGTGCCCACGCAGAAATGTTTGTCCAATATGCACTGACGTATATAATAAACGCAGAAAAAATACATATAATGTGTCCCCTTGAACGCACAATAATATTCAATTCTCGAAATTCGTGACAAAAATATCAAGTTCGTGTAATGAAAGTAATCATTAAACCTTAGAGTGCAGTCTTCTACATCATGTCATCACTTTACACGACTCGTGTTTTACGTACGGAAACTTGAATTCAGAAAGTGGGGGTTCCTGATGTCCCCTAATTTTGTTGGTCAAGGTAAAACCCTGGGTCTAAAGGAATAGATGAGTGAACTATGTCACATACGTTTTTGACAAGGTTCTCTGTGGCACGTGTCCTGTGAACACGGAGAGCACATATCATCACAGTATGTCCTACTGAAGCTCCGGGCACAACCGATACACAGTCCAGTGTCCTTCTCACACCCTTCACAGCCGACGGGACATGGATCGGAGCAGTTCACTCCGTGGTAGTTACTGTCGTGACAGAGGCCAATGCATTTGTTGTCATAGCGACCGCACAGTTTACAGTTAGACGGGCATGACTCGTTACACAGTTCCCCTCTCACACCTGGTGCACAGTGGAGACATCTCACAGAGTCTTTCTCACATTTGTCACAGTTATCTGGAGATGGAATGGTGCATATCTTTCCATAGTAGTTGGCGTTGATACAAGGTCCACTGCACTGGTTTTGTGTGAAGTCATAAACATTACAGTTTGCTTGGCATGTTGTTTTACAAGATTTGCTGTTGCAGTTATCTCCCTGCTCGTCACATCCATCCTTGCAGTACCCTTCAACACAGTGTATACACTCGCCTGTTTCCCTGTCACAGTCTCTACAGTTGTGGGGACAGGTAACATCACACTCGTCCCCTGTGTACCCCGGCTCACAGCTGCCACACTCCCCTGTGATCCTATTACATCCACCTGTACAGATGGAGGGACAGGGAGTTCTACAGTGTTGACCGTAATACTGGGGATTCTCACACGGTCCTGTACAACCACCACCATAACGTTTACACTGTTTACAGGCTGTAGGACAGTTCACAAAACAGTTATCTCCCTTCTTACCGGCCACACATTCCTCTTTACACACAAAACGAGTGTTGTTCATCTGACAGCGAGAGTTGAGACAGGTGTCTTGACAGTCATGTTGACACTGTTTACCATAGACCCTGGAGTCCAGACACTGTAGACTCTCTTCAGATGACGTCACACTGACACAGCGAGGTAGACACACACCGTCAACACAGGTGACGTTGTTACCGTCACAGTTGCTGCAACTACTGCTGGTAGCGGAACCTATGAACAAAGAGACGGCATACAATGAAATGACTGATATTAATGTAAGACAATGAATCCGAAACACGTTTCCATTTCTTATTCTCGTCGAAATAAGTAAGTGTAAACTTGTTATGTTAGGGATTACACTTACTCATTCAAGTACCGATTCTAGTACTTTTCTTGTGTTGAGTGAGGGATTGTACTGTGGACACTCAGTGGCTCAGTGGGTTAGGCGGCTGACTTTGTGTGCTGGCGATTAGGTGCCTGACTCTGAGGGTGTGGGTTCGAATCCCGGATGGGACTCAGCCCAAGTACTAGAATCTGTGCTTTACTGAGAAAGTGTGAATGACACTGTGCCTGCATAACTATAATCCAACAGAGTGGTTAAAAAAACAACAACTACCCTTTGAATTCCGTGTGTCATGGTGTTAATCTTACAACTACAACCGCCTGAAAGCAGTTATTATCTTTCGACGTACCACCCATGATGGCTTCCATTGAGACAGTCAAGGAAACAGACTGTGACTTTTACATACCGAGTCATCAACAGTCTAGACTGTGAGACAATCACGTGTATCCAGGCAGTGAAACAAATACAGACTGCATTGCGATCTTGTATCATGGATAATAAATGACGAGGATGCATGTGTACTGACCTGCTACAGCAGCACACAGTAGGGTCATCACCACGGCATCAACCATGGCTGTTGTGGTGAAGATTTCTGAAAATCGAGATTGAAAGTAGTGCGATATTTAACTGTTTAATTTGCTTTTAACAGCATCTGAGTTTATCAAGGTCATAGTTTGGGATGAGGGACTGAAGCTTTGGTTCCTATGGAGTGTTCTATTTTGTATGGGTGACATTCGGATCAAGGGAAATGGGAGATCACGGAAGGAAACATTACAAACCACGGTCCTGGATCTGATAGTGCATGTTGCAGCTTTTGATTCTGACAGGGTCTGATGCAAATAGAGACATGTATATTTGTGGGAAAATGTGTAGCTATAAAAACGGTAATAATAATTGCTAGAGGATTTTCAGAATTTATCTTCCACTCTTCCTCTACCAAGTAAAACAAACTAACTCAAGGCAAATATGTTTGAAATTACTCTTCAGTTTTCTATAGCCCTTTCCCAACCTATACGTTGTTCTACTGATCGATATGTGTTGCTATAATGTATAACATTTTCGTATTTTGATGTCAATTTCTAAAAATATTCTTGTAAAATAGCCTATGCGTAATTACCATGCTATGAAATTAACTCCTTCTCCCTCAATTAGTTATCCCCGCTTTCTTTGGTAATCCTATTCATCATGCTTTTACCTTGCCTCCGCTTGTATCATGTATAATTATGTTTGTTTTCATTGTTAATTGTCTATACCAAAACGTCGCTATTGTAAGAAGTTGATCATCCATAAAGACTTGTCATTCCTAGGAAATGTGTACACTTCTTACAGTTTGCCATATTCTCAGGAAACACAATGGATGTATATAGATATGTAAATATCACTTTACTGACAACACTGTCATGCAACACAATACCCATGTGAACGTAGGATAGTAATACAGGGGAGCAATACGGATGACATGAGAGGGTATATAATAAATATAGAACATCATATGGATGTCTTGTATTAAACGAGAAGATGTCATGGGAGCAGAGAGTTCGTGTTTCTCTGCTCCCATGGCATCTTCTCGTTCAATGCAAAACATCCAAATGCACTAGTATGACGTTTTATATATATATATATTAAACGTCACACTAGTGCATTTGGATGTTTTAATATTCAATAAAACATCAAATGCACTAGTATGACGTTTTATATATATATATATATTAAACGTCACACTAGTGCATTTGGATATTTTTGTATTCGATAGAAGTCATGTATATAAGGTGGTATTCTTGAATCCTGTTCCAAATGTGATTCACATGATGTCATGCATATATATATGACATCATGAGAATCACGTTTGGAGCAGGATTCAAGAATATCAGCTTATATACATGACTTCTATCGAAATACAAAATATAGTTTATAGATTACTGTATAGAGAATCTAATATATTCACCTTGAGTCGCAGCTTGACTACTGGCTACTCACACTATGGACAGGAGTGCGTCACAATGTGATCAGAAGGAAGCAACTACCTTCCTCACCATCTGCCTTTTGGGTTCAGTTTTGCTAGTAACAATAGGTTCAGTTACTTCCTACATTCGAGACAATTAAGAAAATATTTTCACTTTCATATTTTTAAGTATCACGCGGCCTTGAATCGAACTTACTGCGATGGCTACGGCTGCGTTTTGGGGCCTTTTGATTTCAACTTAGTATCTTGAAATTTCAAGCACAAATATAGAAACACGAATGGCCTTGTAAAGCTTCGCAAAAGCGGCTTTTGACTATCTTTATCCACTCACTGATCGTGTCTTGATAAACTCACGGTACAAAGAATTCTAGGTTTACAGCTCCATATACATTTAAATTTCACTTAACTTCTCTGGGTAGCATGTTATATGTTAGGTGAATGAATGAGTTTAGTTTTACTCCGCACTCAGCAATATTCAAGCTATATGGCGGCGGTCTGTAAATAATGGAGTCTGGACCAGACAATCCAGTGGTCAACATCATGAACATCGATCTGCGCAATTTGGAACAGATGACATGAGTCAACCAAGTCAGCGAGCCTGACCACCTGATCCCGTTAGTCGCCTCTTACGACAAGCACAGTCGCCTTCTGTGACAAGCATGGGTTGCTGAAGAACTATTCTACCCCGGATCTTCACGGGTCGTTATCTGTTAAGTGCAGACAGGTTTAGTTGTGTGACTTCGTATTAGGGGTGGGCGATAATACCGGTTCACCGGTATATTGCAATTCGAACTTCACAATACGATATTTTGCGGTACACTTTCGCGAACCGGATCACCCAATGTAGTCAAAACTACTAATAAAATTTGTATTTCCTTATTTCTTTTATTTTATCATACACTAATAGTTTTGAGAATGTTTATTGTTCATATAATTGCATTTGCGTGACTTTTAAACCATATATATATAATAGATTGGTACCGACAAACCAAACTGGCGAACGCCGCTGCTAACGCTTTTTATCGAGTTCCAAACTTTAGAGCGAAGTCTTCAGTTTGGAAACATTTTCAACTGATCTCTTGTACAATCACATCTGAGTCCTGACAGTGGCAAGTGGCATTGTTTCAAAAGAAAGGAAACAGAAATTTAACTACCTCAAACCATGTGTTATATACTTTTACAATATCTTGTAATACATATTGCAATACGCCAACACATAGCACAATATATCGCAATACGAAACTTTTGGCAGTACCCAACCCTACTTCGTATCTATCTCAACCTACAGGAAACCGGAATTTTAAGTTGGATAATTTGTCCCCAATCCTTTCACATTTGTGAACAAAATATGTTTAAATCAAACCGAGTTCCAACTTCAAGGGACTCTCCTGAAGAGCATCTTCGTCGTGGTTAGTGCTGGGTAACACTAATAGCTTTTCTCGGACGTGGACCACTGGTAGAATGTGTCTTCAGCACCACATAGTCTTTGTCGTTGGAGGACGGGTGTCTGGTGGTTGAAGGCACTGATTCCAGGAACAGCAAATGATAATTCAAATGAAAATTAGTCACAGCAAATATGACATACAGCATTCCAAAACACAGAAAAATCCGGCATTTCTGTGTGGAGTGTTAGAGGGCATAGATGATTCCTCTCCATTAAACACCCAATCACTCACTCATTGTCCGAACAAAATATACGGAGAATGCTTTTCCATAAGTCATCCATAAACTCATAAATATTATACAGTGAAACTGTCGTAGTCATGGCTAACTTTGATGAAGTGAATGTTCTTGGCACATAACTATAATCCAAAAGCAATCAGCATTCAAGATACTTTTGTGGTTAAAAATTCAACTACTCTTAAGAGAATATAGCATGTATAATCCATACTATATATATAAAGACTATCAGTGATATCACATCTGGTGGGTTAACTTGAAGCCCATTTCTGGTGTCCCCCGCCGTGATGTTGCTGGAATATTGCTAAAAGCGGCGTAAAAACAAACTCAGTCAGTCAGTCAGTCAGTGGTGGGTTAACTATTTTTGGTAATCAAGGAAAACTCCTCAGTTTCGTTGAATAGAAATCTGGATGCTTGGCTGTCTGTTTATCTCTAAACATTGCTATAACACAGTGTTCGTTTAAATTCATACATCATCAATGCTTAATAATAAGGATTTTGATCTCGAAACTGAAGATTTGAATGGACACGATGCGTTCTGGGGTACCGGTTATATCTATAAAACGTTTTTAATGATAAACAATGCTTATTTACACCCAGCAAATGGTACATAATCAGTTGTGGACTTATCTATTAATGGACCCATTTGTTTTTAATCAATGTTCATTATCTCTTTAATGTATTGTATGTAGTAATCAATTATACGTTTAACTGTCCCTCGAATTCTCGACCTATATATAAATGGAAGTTTACAAAAACTGATTCGCACATTTTAGATATACACATGGGAAAATGGAAAAAAGGATCGCACCAGCAACATGTTTCACAGTATCACTACTTACCATTAAACATAACAAAAGAACTTATCCAAACCTCAATTTAAGTTATCATCTGGATAGATTGAACCTCAAGGAATAAGAAAATGGCAAAAATAACTAATAGTAGTACACTATTCAGAGAAGAAACCTAAGTAAATGACTCATTTTATAGTGCTGATTACTATTGTTGTATGCGTTCCAAACTTGATGTGGCCAAGTATTGTCGTCCATAAAGACTGGCCTTGTGTTCAGAGGATGGTCTTTGAAACGGACAATAACCTGTCTATGATGTAAGTAATGTAACATTGTCCATTCAGCATTTGTCTCATCATCACAAGATCAAGCTTACAGTCACTTGAGAGGCACCCCCACGCCATCAATGAACCCCCGCCAAACGGTACTTGTTCCATGATATTCCTTTGTCTATATGCAGCAGACAAGAGCCATCAGCCATCAGTCACTTTTGTCCGACCAGTTCAGCCTTCCTTATTCCACTGAATCCCAGCCGTGAAATTGCTGGAATATTGCTAAAAGCGGCGTAAAACTATACTCAATCACTCATAGCTAATCTATCATAGTTCTATTAGCATCATTGACTTTGCAGAGTGACCAGTGGTGCGCAGACTAAGGACTTGGCAACTGAGATCCTTTTGTAAACAATCCTTTAACAGGTTGCATACATTCTCATAGTAAATCAGAACCAGTTTCACTGGGAACACCAAGTAGCACTAGGAACAAAATGAATTCCGACCTAACTAATAACTTTATTGCTTCCACACCACTCCGAATTTGGGAGTTTACGTAAATAAAATAAACATCTTTAGAATCTTGTTTCATTTTATTCAACACTCTCAAGCATATTTTTCAAGCATTATCTTCGACAATTTATTTCGAAAACACACTCAACCCCGATAACATTCACCTTCATGTTGAGACATTACTCCCTCGCCAACTTGCCCAAGGACCGGGTATTCAGTTAATATTGCCTTACATTGACATAATCAAGAAAATTGTGTCCTATGTTAATTGTTCACAAACCTCGACATATTTCCTTGTGTACAGAGACTGAGGTCAAAGTTTTGATGTCCTCCTTATGTGTCACGGCGCTCCTGTGATCAGGGTGTCATTAAATATGGCTAAAGTAGTAGTATAAAACGTGGAGAAACTTCACAATTGTATTAATAGTACCTTAGACATGCGATGTAAGGGATCAATGCCCCAATTAACACTGACAATAGACAGGTGATTAACAAACCACGATACAAACCAAATACACAATCTGATTAGCTCAGCAACAGTATAACCGCGATTAACAAAGATAGCTGCAACCACTCTCTGACAAGACAATCAACAAGTTGCACAGGCAACCAAGTCGGCTGTTATCACATGGGAGTTCTGTGAAGTGCAAAATTCATTTATTCAATTGAATAGTGTAATATGTAAATATCAACAGCAAGACCTGAGACACGAGAGATATCATATGTACACTGTGACTGTTGGCTGGAATGAACAATTCACTGCCTGACCACACAACAATCACTCGCGACTATGTCTCTGTTTGTGTGCGTGCATGAGTGCGTGCATGAGTGCGTGCGTGCGTGCGTGTATTCATCAATATGTATTATGACTATTATATTACCGTGATTGTGTAGGGTAACGTGCAGAACAGCCACGAGTGATATGCATAGCGGAACATTTTTACATATTTTTATGAAGCGTTACTGTCATAGCACATCTAGTAAGTGCAACTAAGACAATGATGAACATACTGAATTTAAGTAAGGCGTGAGAGTAAGTAAATACTTACTAAACTGTGTTTTATACATGGAATATCATTGATTTACAATACATACATTAATACGATATTTACATCCTATACACTATAACTCAAACATTTCTTCTGTGAAAATATACATGCATATAAATGCAACATGGAAAACATAATACAACAGAGACGTAGGGTCAATTAAACCTCAATGGTTTAGATAGAAATATTTAAGTTTACACTATAAATTGATGGAAATAGTTAACAATTAAATCATTCTTCATATAGGTTGTTTTAAGATTTCGATTTTCAATGACAAATCACTTCATATTAGGGCGTATGCAAATGAAAAATGTCAGATCTAAACTCAAAACACATCAATATTCTTATTACTACTGGGTCTTAGTGTGGTGTGTCTGACGGCAATTGTACGTACATTTGGACAAATTCTTGTTTTAAAACCAGTAACAGAATTACTGTTAATTATTGCCTCTTTCAGTTTGTGAATTCCGCTGTTTTCATGAATCGTTGAAAACGGTGTTGTTCGTGCAAAAAGAATGCTTAGAAATTCATATTTGTTTTTTTAATTTCAGCCGTATCAGTAGTTGAAGTTCCAATTCTATGTATCATAGGCGAAAATCCAAGTGATACAGATAGTTTTGAAAGTTGTTACATTATTTATGCACACTTGAAATAAGAATGGCCCCAGTACTGAATCAAGTGTGACATCTGCCCTGCTGAAATTGTGAATCGATAAATGGCCACTGAGACATTTCTCGGCGACGATCTGACAAGTAACTAATAAGTTACCATTAGTGGTATATATTATGTAATCGTTTCCAGTGTAGCTTTCTGTCATACCCTGTAGTATATGCTTTTTGTCGTGTACCTTTATGTCATACCCTGTGGTATAACCTCATCCAATGTACCTTTATGTCATACCCTGAAGTATAACCTTATCCAATGTACCTTTATGTCATACCCTGTGGTATAACCTTATCCAATGTACCTTTATGTCATACCTTGTGGTATAACTTTATCCAATGTACCTTTATGTCATACCCTGTTGCATAACCTTATCCAATGTACCTTTATGTCATACCCTGTGGTATAACCTTATCCAATGTACCTTTATGTCATACCCTGTGGTATAACCTTATCCAATGTACCTTTATGTCATACCCTGTGAGTATAACCTCATCAAATGTACCTTTATGTCATACCCTGTGGTATAACCTTATCCAATGTACCTTTATGTCATACCCTGTGGTATAACCTTATCCAATGTACCTTTATGTCATACCCTGTGGTATAACCTCATCAAATGTACCTTTATGTCATACCCTGTTGCATAACCTTATGCAATGTACCTTTATGTCATACCCTGTGGTATAACCTTATCCAATGTACCTTTATGTCATACCCTGTGGTATAACCTTATCCAATGTACCTTTATGTCATACCCTGTGTCATAACCTTATCCAATGCATCTTTATGTCATACCTATCCAATGCACCTTTGTGCCATACTCTATTTTATGAGATTTTCCAGTGTGCCTTTATATTATGACATGTCGCATGTGTTTGCAATGTCACAACATGTCCCACAAAAGTGCTTGTTAACATGGCGAGTAACAAATTTGGTGACAACCTTCGGTCAGTGAATCCCGACTGATGTTGCAAAACTATTTTATGTTGTAATGTCTTTCGAAAAAAAGTTCAATTGAACAATTTTAAGTAAACTCATAGAATTATATATGTGAACAATTTCAGCCGTATCAGTTGTTGACGTTCCAATCAATGTATCATAGGCGAAGCATCAAGTGATACAGATAGTTTTGAAAGTTGTTACATTATTCATGTACACTTGAAATAAGGATGGCCCCAGTACTGAATCAAGTGTGACATCTGCCCTGCTGAAATTGTGAATCGATAAATGGCCACTGAGACATTTCTTGGCGACGATCTATCAAGTAACTAATAAGTTACCATTAGTGTTATATCATGTAATCGTTTCCAGTGTAACTTTCTGTTATACCCTGTAGTATACGCTTTTTGTCGTGTACCTTTATGTCATACCTTGTGGTATAACCTTATCCAATGTACCTTTATGTCATACCTTGTGGTATAACGTTATCCAATGTACCTTTATGTCATACCCTGTGGTATAACCTTATCCAATGTACCTTTATGTCATACCCTGTTGCAAAACCTTATCCAATGTACCTTCATGTCATACCCTGTGGTATAACCTTATCCAGTGTACCTTTATGTCATACCCTGTGGTATAACCATATCCAATGTACCTTTATGTCATACCCTGTGGTATAACCTCAGCAAATGTACCTTTGTCATCCCCTGTTGCATAACCTTATGCAATGTACCTTTATGTCATACCCTGTGGTATAACCTTATCCAGTGTACCTTTATGTCATACCCTGTGGTATAACCTCATCAAATGTACCTTTATGTCATACCCTGTTGCAAAGCCTTATCCAATGTACCTTTATGTCATACCTTGTGGTATAACCTTATCCAGTGTAGCTTTATGTCATACCCTGTGGTATAACCTTATCCAATGTACCTTTATGCCATACCCTGTGGTATAACCTTATCCAATGTACCTTTATGTCATACCCTGTAGTATAACCTCATCAAATGTACCTTTATGTCATACCCTGTGGTATAACCTTATCCAATGTACCTTTATGTCATACCCTGTGGTATAACCTTATCCAATGTACCTTTATGCCTTACCCTGTGTCATAACCTTTTCCAATGCATCTTTATGTCATACCTATCCAATGCACCTTTGTGCCATACTCTATTTTATGAGATTTTCCAGTGTGCCTTTATATTATGACATGTCGCATGTGTTTGCAATGTCACAAAATGTCCCACAAAAGTGCTTGTTAACATGGCGAGTAACAAATTTGGTGACAACCTTCGGTCAGTGAATCCCGACTGATGTTTGCAAAACTATTTTATGTTGTAATGTCTTTCGAAAAAAGTTCAAGTTGAACAATTTTAAGGTAAACTCATAGAATTATATATGTGAACAATTTCAGCCGTATCAGTTGTTGAAGTTCCAATCAATGTATCATAGGCGAAGCATCCAGTGATACAGATAGTTTTGAAAGTTGTTACATTATTCATGTACACTTGAAATAAGGATGGCCCTAATTTAAGTTGGATTTGTTTTGTTTTGTGACGAACAGTTGCATCAGACCAGGCATTGTGACAAACTGATGTTCAAGCTTCATGTTTATGAAGATAAGTAAAGAGTTCATTTCTCAAAAAACGCTCACTCCTCAAACGTTTCATTCACATCCTGGGTTATGTTTGTGTGTCCGTTGTAAGATATCTTACATTGACATTTGACAAATCACAGTTTTCTTCAATAAAGATTATTGAATCAGTCTTTTCAGTCAGGTGATGGATTTGTTCAGACATGGCTACATCAGCATCACATTCATTCTGGATCGACTCACAGCAAAAAACACTCTCCATCTCGGGAAGCGCCGATGCATCCAAGACAGCCCTCCTTTTCTTGGGGATTTCTTTCAGAGGTAAAGCAGGTCTCGTTGGCCGTGATGGTGAAACTGAACTGTCATCTATCTCACTGTACGTAGCATTGGTGCTGTTGATTGTTCTTGAAATGTTCCTGAAGAAAGGAGTATCTGTGTTTCTGTTAAAATAGCGGAAAACCCGTTATCCGATGTAAATGTCAGTATGCGTTCACGTATTATAGAAAAATATTATCGATGAAAGGTGTTTACAATACCAAATCTGCAGTGGAAAATCCACTCTAAAACATTGTCAATTAACATCAGAAAATCATGATGATGTCAGAAGAAACACTCATACACTGCAGTCCATCAAAATGTAAGCATCAAGACGACAACCAGCTCCAGGTATTTATCTATGTTGTAATTCGTTCTTTACCTGTCACAGCTAATGTAATAAGGGACTGGGACTCTAAAATAGATCCCATTAAAGTATTAAGTCAGTTTGAACTTACATTTTCTCAAAATCATTTAAGCAAAAATAAGTACCAGCACTTACCTCCTCTTCACATATATCCGAAATATGATGATCATGGCTAGAACAGTGCAGCATAGGAGTCCTGCTAGAGCCCCAAAAGAAATAACCAAAGTGTGTTCAGGTGAACCTGAAATAAAAGGGTTATTTTGGTAAATCATTTTGACTTGCGTAGGAGCATAGAAATCCTGCTAGTGTCCCAAAAGAAATAACCAAAGTGTGTTCAGGTGAACCTTAAACAAAAGGGTTATTTGGGTAAATCATTTTGACTTGCGGTGGAGGATAGAAATCTTGCTAGTGCGCCAAATAAAATAACCAAAGTGTGTTCAGGTGAACCTGAAATCTAAGGGATATTTTATTATCGTCATGTGGAAGATCTTTCCACATTTGACGCTTCAGAGACAAATTCAGAGACAATGTGTAATTCCACATCTTTTCTTTCTTTTGTTTACTTTTCCCGTGTATTGTTTATGTCCTTGGATGTGTTTGTGACGGATGCCACTGGTGGGGCAGGATACGCTCACATTTAAAGATTACCTGGTATGATCACTTTCGTATGGTAATTTATGAACACACGCTTAAGATATAGTCGGAATCGTACAATCAAATTTCGTCACTTATATTTATAAAAAATATGACTCCTTCTTAGCCAAGCAGTTACCATGCATTGCACTGAAATTTAGGTCCTTTGATTTTACATAACTCTGCACAGTTCCTAATTTCAATATGTTTTGGGTTTTTTTCACTTTACTAGTATTTCTTTTTTTACGCATTGGTACAGTTTTATCGTTCATACACAACATTATTTCAAATACACAGCACAGTGAAGTAACAAGCATAAGTGAGATCGAGTAGGTTATGTAAATAAGTTTTGGCATGATGACCAGAAAGTCGTGAACTTGCTATATTTGCATACCGAGTATGCATTATATTTATTGAGATTGTAACTGTGGTTTAATATGGCTTTGAGACTTTCAAGGGTTGGACGTATATTTGCTAGTTTTCTGGAATATATATATTCCTTTGTTATGATAAATATTAAGTTCAGAACATAGTTACGTTTTTCATGAAAGCCCAAAAGGATTGTTTTCGGATCCAGGTTTATAGTAGTGTCTGTTTTATCTTCAATCAATTTAAAGGTCTTGCCACAGCCCATTTACGTATCTGCATTCAAACATCAAATGAACAATGGTTTCTTTTTCAGCCTTGCAAAATGTACATAGTGGTGATTCTAATATATTATAGTTGTATAGGTCTTTATTGGTTGTGAGAATTCTGTGGACAATATGATATTGAAACCATCTTTCATTAGTGTTATGAACAGCTCTGAATGGTATAAAATGATAGGTATTCCATAAGTCAGGTGGAAAATTGTGATGAAGGTCGTTTTCCCATTTACATTGGTATCCTAAACTTGGAATAGATTTAGCCTTGTTTAGTAGCGTTGTGTAGAAAATATTGCAGCCTCTCTTATTTTCATAGAGTATTTTTACATTCGGGGGAATAAAGGGTAAATGTCTTTGCTTTGTCAATAGCGTAGCTTCTTGCTTTGAATATTGTTTTATTGAAGATACTAATCCCGCATATTCTACGAAATTTGTCTCTACTCTATACTTCTCTTTAAACTCAGTGAAAGACAGAAAGGATTCATCATCTTTTAGTACGTCATTTATAAATTTTACATTTGCTTTTAAGTAGTGTTCATATAGTATAGATTTGTTCCCAATTTTTATATTGTTATTTGCCAAAATATACTGTTTGCAAAAGTCGGATTTCGTATAAGGATACCGTTCTTGTAAATCAGCCCAAGCATCCAGAACATCTTTCCAGAATAGGTTTTTAAGTTTTGGGATGATGTGTGTTTTCAAGTAGGTTGAGCCCATTTCTATTGGGTTTGTATTTTTTACCATCTTATTTAAGATATTGTTGAATTTAGAATTTGTTGCAAACAGCCTTCTTATCCATGATATTTTTTGAGATTTTATAGTTTCGAGTATATCTGGAACTTTCAAGCCGCCTTCTTTATAGTTTCTGATTATCAGAGATCGTTTTATTTTGTCTGGTTTGCCTCTCCAAATAAATGCGAAGATCTTTTTCTGGATCATTTGAATTGTATTCATTTTGGGGTTTGGTAGTGAGGAAAATAGATGATTGAGTGTGGGCAATATTAGGCTTTTCAGGATAGTTATTCTGCCGAATGGTGTGAGATTTCTAAGTGACCAAAGTTTCATTAATCTATCCATTTTCTTCAGTTTATTTTTATAGTTTCTTTCCACCATTTCTGCCTTATTATGTTGAAAAATGATACCTAGCAGTTTGAAAGGTCTTTGCGTCCAGTCCAGATTATAGTCTCTGCAATACTGTGTACTTGAGAATTGTTTAGAACCTATCCACAATACTTTAGTTTTATCAGGGATACTCTACAAGATATAGAGTCTCCCTGGTTTTATCAATGTTTATTTTAAGACCAGAGAAGGATGCGTATTGTTTAAGCACTTCTAATGTTGTTTGAAAAGAACGTTCAGACCCATCTAAGATTTTCTAAGTCAAACATTTGTATCCCTTTTATTTTGTCATTTTGACGTAACATGTAAGCAAGGATTTCTGCGAGTTCGTCTCAAACACTTTGGCCATAGATCATTCAAATTTGCAGCACCAACCCTATGGAACAGTCTTCCTACTCCCATAAAAAATGCTTCATCCCTAGAAGCATTCAAATCGGGACTCAAAACCTTCCTCTTCAAAAAAGTCTACAACCTATAACTGCAAAATATTCTCACGGTTATTTTTGGCTAATTGTCATATCTTCTTCTTGAACTCTAGTGACTCTTTTTATATGTAGCGCTTTGAGCATGCTCTGGATGGACTATGGCGCATAAGAAATATCCATTTATTATTATTATTATTATTATTATTATTATGAGAAATAGATATGGCGATAGAGGATCAGCCTCTAGTAATGTGGAAGAAGTCTGATGCAAAACCATTTATTGAAACGCTAGAATTTATGTTGTTGTAAAATGTTTTTATCCAGTGTTTGATTGATGGTCCAAAATTAAAGAAGTTAAGACATTTCTCAATACAAGACCATTCCACGGAATCGAAAGCTCTTTCAAAGTCTATCATTATCAGTAATCCTGGTATATTCATATAGTCTGTATATTCCATAATGTCACTGACCAATCTCGTGCATTCGCCAATGTATCTACCTTTCATGAAGCCTTTTTGATCGTCGCTTATTATTTTCGGGAGTAAACGTTTTATTCGCGCTGAAATTACGGACGAGGCTAGTTTATACGATATGTTAAGCAGTGATATAGGTCTGTAGTTTTTAATTTGGTCTTTAGGTTTATCATGTTTGGGAATACATGTTATTTCAATGTGTTATACTAATTGTGTTCAAATGCAAAATATATCTGTGGGACAGAGGGACTGTTTTAGAATCCTCTCCCGGTCAGAAAGGTATTCATTCCATGAATATGAGTCACTTTACGACTAAAAACACTAAAAACCGATAACATGACATGACGTCACGAGCAGTTTTCTTCAAATGACAATGAGATGACATCATTGGAGATTCACCAGTGCAGATCCGGGATAGAATTGATATTCTGTAACCCATTATTGTCGTAAGAGGCGACTAACGGGATCGGGTGTTCAGGATCGCTGACCTGGTTGACATATCCCAGTTGCGTAGATCGATGCTCATGCTGGTGATCGCAATCTTGTCTGGTCCAGACTCGATTATTTACAGATCGCCGCCATATAGCTGGAATATTGCTGGAGTGCGGCGTAAAACTAAACTCACTCACTGGATATTCATAAGAACGTCTTGTACAATCCGATTTCTGTTTTCTGTTGCACCATATTTTCCCGTGCTTTTAGATGAAACACTGAGTTGCAGTTTCATAGGTTTCGGACTGGTGATGCCGAATGAGCAGGAGATGCTCACCTTTTCACGAACACTTGGTACATGTACCATCACTTATATAAAGTGTTTCATAACACATGCTAATCAAATAGTATGAATAATACAAGGGTGTTTGCTTTGAGCAATATCTATTATTATTATTATGGAAAAGATTTTTCTGCCGGTTATCTATCACATCGTAACTATGTGTTTTATCTCAAATCATGTCAAATAGCACCTTTATCTAAAATTTGTTCGTTTAAGTTTGATTGATTCACATTACAGTGCATACAATATTAACTGCATCCTTTTGTAGATATAAACATATCCGTTGATTATATCATTCATTAAATATAGGTAAAATAAATGCCCCGTGCGTGAAGACGCTGTGTGGAATACTTTCACCAAGACGCTGTGTGGAGTACTTTCACAAACGCGAGACATGTGTTACGAAACATCACGTTGGTTTGAAACAAACAGCCCTGTATCTGAATATTATTCAAAGCGGCAATGATCTGAGGCTTTACTTTCATTTTGGTAAAGTGATAAACATTTGTGTATACGGGAGTGATTTTACAACAGGCATTTTTACCGTATAAAGGAATAAATGAGTGAATTATGTTACATACGTTTTTGACAAGATTCTTTGTGGCACGTGTCCTGTGAACACGGAGAGCACATATCATCACAATATGTCCTACTGAAGCTCTGGGCACAACCGATACACAGTCCAGTGTCCTTCTCACACCCTTCACAGCCGACGGGACATGGATCGGAGCAGTTCACTCCGTGGTAGTTACTGTCGTGACAGAGGCCCATGCATATGTTGTCATAGCGACCGCACAGTTTACAGTTAGATGGGCATGACTCGTTACACAGTTCCCCTCTCACACCTGGTGCACAGTTGAGGCATCTCGCAGAGTCTTTCTCACATTTGTCACAGTTATCTGGACATGGAATGGTGCATATCTTTCCATAGTAGTTGGCGTTGATACAAGGTCCACTGCACTGGTTTTGTGTGAAGTCATAAACATTACAGTTTGCTCGGCATGTTGTTTTACAAGATGTACTGTTACAGTTATCTCCCTGTTCGTCACATCCGCCCTTGCAGTACCCTTCAACACAGTGTATACACTCGCCTTTTTCCCTGTCACAGTCTCGACAGTTGGATGGACAGGTAATGTTACAGTAGTCCCCTGTATAACCCAGCTCACAGCTGTCACAGTGGTCCCCTCTGTACCCTTCAACACAGTGAATACACTCGCCTGTTTCCCTGTCACAATCTCTACAGTTGGAGGGACAGGTAATGTTACAGTAGTCCCCTATATAATCTGGTTCACAGCTGTCACAGTGGTCCCCTCTGTACCCTTCAACACAGTGTATACACTCGCCTGTTTCCCTGTCACAGTCTCGACAGTTGGAGGGACAGGTAATGTTACAGTGCTTCCCTCTGTATCCCGGCTCACAGTTGTCACACTCCCCTGTGATCCAATTACATCCACCTCTACAGTTGGGGGGACAGGTAACATCACACTTGTCCCCTGTGTACCCCGGCTCACAGCTGCCACACTCCCCTGTGTCTTTATCACATCCACCTCTACAGTTGGGGGACAGGTAACATCACACTTGTCCCCTGTGTACCCCGGCTCACAGCTGCCACACTCCCCTGTGTCTTTATCACATCCACCTCTACAGTTGGGGGGACAGGTAACATCACACTTGTCCCCTGTGTACCCCGGCTCACAGCTGCCACACTCCCCTGTGTCTTTATCACATCCACCTCTACAGTTGGGGGGACAGGTAACATCACACTTGTCCCCTGTGTACCCCGGCTTACAGCTGTCACAATCCCCTGTGATCCTATTACATCCTCCTCTACAGTTGGAGGGACAAGGTGTTCTACAGTGTTGACCGTAATACTGGGGATTCTGACACGGTCCTGTACAACCATCACCATAACGTTCACACTGTGTACAGGCTGTAGCACAGTTTACACCACAGCTATCTCCCTTCTTGCCGGCAACACATCCCTCTGTACACACAACACGGGTGTAGTTAAACTGACAGCGAGAGTTGAGACAGGTGTCTGGACAGTCATCTTGACACTGTTTACCATAGAACCTGGAGTCCAGACAACGAGGTCGACACACACCGTCAACACAGGTCACGTTGTTACCGTCGCAGATGCTGCAACTACTGCTGGTAGCGGAACCTATGAACAAAGAGACGACATACAATGAAATGACTGATATCAATGTTAGACAATAAATCCGAAACACGTTTGCATTTCTTATTCTCGTCGAAATAAGTAAGTGTAAACATGTTATATTTGGGATTGCACTTTCTCAGTCAAGTACAGATTCTAGTACTTTTCTTGTGTTGAGTCAGGGCTTCTACTGTGGAAGCTCAGTGGCTCAGTGGGTTAGGCGGCTGACTTTGTGTGCTGGCGATTAGGTGCCTGACTCTGAGGGTGTTGGTTCGAATCCCGGACGGAACTCAACCCAACAAAAGTACTAGAATTTGTGCTTTACTGAGAAAGTGTGAATGACACTGTGCCTTCATAACTTTAATCCAACAGCGTGGTTAAAAAAACAACAACTACTCTGATGAGAATATAGCATGTATAATCTAGAATCTGTATTTTACTAAGAAGTGTAATCCATAATATAACGTGTAACATTTGACCACCTTCTAAGAGTCATTGTGAATTCCAAGTATGTATCTTATTCCATATAACGTGTATCATGTTGCGAATCTTACAACTACAACCGCCTGAAAGCAGTTATTATCTTTCGACGTACCAGCAATGATGGCTTCCATTGAGACAGTCAAGGAAACAGACTATGACTTTCACATGCCGGGTCATTAAAAGTCTAGGCTGTGAGACAATCACGTGTATCCAGCCAGTGAAACAAATACAGACTGCATTGCGATCTTGTATCATGGATAATAAATTATGAGGGTGCATGTGTACTGACCTGCTACAGCAGCACACAGTAGGGTCATCACCACGGCATCAACCATGGCTGTTGCGGTGAAGATTTCTGAAAAAACGAGATTGAAAGTAGTGCGATATTTTACTGTTTAACTTGCTTTTAACATCATCTGAGTTTATCAAGGTCATAGTTTTGGATGAGGGACTGAAGCAAATTTATGGAGCTTTGGTTCCCATGGAGTGTTCTATTTTATATGGGTGAGATTCGGGTCGAGGGAAATGGGAGATCAAGGAAGGAAACATTACAAAGAGCTATGTATATTTGTGGGAAAATATGTAGCTATAAAAACGGCATTAATAATTGCTAGAGGATTTTCAGAAATTATCTTCCACTCTTCCTCAACCAAGTAAAACAAACTAACTCAAGGCAAATATGTTTGAAATTACTCTTCAGTTCTCTATAGCCCTTTCCCAACCTAAACGTTGTTCTAATGATCGATATGTATTGCTATTATGTATAACAGTTTCGTATTTTGATGTCAATTTCTAAAAATATTCCTGTAAAATAGCCCTTTGCGTAATTACCATGCTATGAAATTAACTCCTTCTCCCTCAATTAGTTATCCCCGCTTTCATTGGTAATCCTATTCATCATGCATTTATCTTGCCTCGGCTTGTATCATATATAATTATGTTTGTTTTCATTGTTATTTGTCTATACCGAAACGTCGCTATTGTAAGAAGTTGATCATCCATAAAGACTTGTCATTCCTAGGAAATGTGAACACTTCTTATAGTTTGTCATATTCTTAGGAAACACAATTGATGTATATAGATATGTAAATATCACTTAATGACAACACTGTCATGCAACACAAAACCCATGTGAACTTAGGATAGTAATACAGGGGAGCAATACGGATGACATGAGAGGGTATATAATAAATATAGAACGTCATATTCGTGCATTTGGATATCTTGTATTGAACGAGAAGATGTCATGGGAGCAGAGAGTTCATGTTTCTCTGCTCCCGTGACATCTTCTCGTCCAATACAAAACACACAAATGCACTAGTATGACGTTTTATATATATTAAACGTCACACTAGTGCATTTGGATATTTTGTATTTCGATATAAGTCATGTATAGAAGGTGATATTCTTGAATCCTGTTCCAAATGTGATTCACATGATGTCATGCATATATATATGACATCATGTGAATCACGTTTGGAGCAGGCAGGATTCAAGAATATCACCATATATACATGACTTCTATCGAAATACAAAATATAGCTTATGAATTACTGTATAGACAAGTTGAGTCGCAGCTTGACTGCTGGGTACTCACACGATGGAGAGGAGTGCGTCACAATGTGGTCCGTGGGAAGCAACTACCTTCCTCACCATCCGCGTTTTGGGTTCAGTTTTGCTAGTAACAAGGTTCAGTTATTACTTCCTACACTCGAGACAAATTGAGGAAATATTTTCAATTTCATATCTTTAAGCATCAGGCGGCCTTGAATCGAACTTGCTGCGATGGCTACGGGTGCGTTTTGGGGCCTTTTGATTTCAACTTAGTATCGTGAAATTTCAAGCAAAAATATAGAAACACGAATGGCCTTATAAAGCTTCGCAAAAGCGGCTTTTGACTATGTTTATCCACTAACTGATCGTGTCTTGATAAACTCACGGTACAAAGAATTCTAGGTTTACAGCTCCATATACGTTTGAATTTCACTTAAATAACTTCTCTGGGTAGCGAGAAAATATGTTATCTGTTAAGTGCAGACAGGTTTAGTTGTGTGACTTTGTATCTATCTCAATCGACAGGAAACAGTTATTTTAAGTTGCATAATTTGTCCCCAATCCTTTTCATATTTGTGATGTTTAAATCAAACCGAGTTCCCACTTCAAGCGACTCTCCTGAAGAGCATCTTCGTCGTGGTTGGTGCTGGGTAACACTAATAGCTTTTCTCGGACGTGGACCACTGGTAGAATGTGTCTTCAGCACCAAATAGTCTTTGTCGTTGGAGGACGGGTGCCTGGTGGTTGAAGGCACTGATTCCAGGAACAGCAAATGATAATTCAAATGAGAATTAGTCACAGCAAATGTGACATACAGCATTCCAAACACAGAAAAATCCGCCATTTCTGTTTGGAAGATAGGGGGCATAGATGATTCCTCTCCATTAAACGCCCAATCACTCACCCATTCTCCGAACAAAATATACGGAGAACGTTTTTCCATAAGTCATCCATAAACTCATAAAATATATTATACAGTGAAACTGTCATAGTCATGGCTCACTTTGATGAAGTGAATGTTCTTGGCACATAACTATAATCCAACAGCATTCAGCATTCAAGATACTTTTGTGGTTAAAAATTCAACTACTCTTAAGAGAATATAGCATGTATAATACATAATATATGTATAAAGACTATCAGTGATATCACATCTGGTGGATTAACTATTTTTGGTAATCAAGGAACACTCCGCAGTTTCGTTGAATAGAATCCTCGAGGCTTGGCTGTCTGTCACTTGAGAGGCACCCCAACGCCATCAATGAACCCCCGCCAAACGGTACTTGTTCCATGATATTCCGTTGTCTATATGCAGCAGACACGAGCCATCAGCCATCAGTCACTTTTGTCCGACCAGTGCGGCCTTCCTTATTCCACTTAATCCCAGCCGTGATATTGCTGGAATATTGCTAAAAGCGGCGTAAAACTATACTCAATCACTCATAGCTAATCTATCATAATTCTTTTACCATCATTGACTTTGCAGAGTGACCAGTGGTGCGCAGACTAAGGACTTTGCAACTGAGATCCTTTTGTAAACACTCCTTTAACAGGTTGCATACATTCTCATAGTAAATCAGAACCAGTTTCACTGGGAACACCAAGTAGCACTAGGAACAAAATGAATTCCGACCTAACTAACAACTTTATGGCTTTCACACCACTCCGAATTTGGGAGTTTACGTAAATAAAATAAACATCTTTAGAATCTTGTTTCATTTTATTCAACACTCTCAAGCATATTTGTTCAAGCATTATTTTCGAAAACACACTCAACCCCGATAACATTCACCTTCATGTTGAGACATTACTCCCTCGCCAAGTTGCCCAAGGACCGGGTATTCGGTTAATATTTCCTTACATTGACATAATCAAGAAAATTGTGTCCTATGTTATTTGTTCACAAACCTCGACATATTTCCTTGTGTACAGAGACTGAGGTCAAAGTTTTGATGTCCTCCTTATGTGTCACGGCGCTCCTGTGATCAGGGTGTCATTAAATATGGCTAAAGTAGTAGTATAAAACGTGGAGAAACTTCACAATTGTATTAACAGTACCTTAGGCATGCGATGTAAGAGATCAATGCCCCAATTAACACTGACAATAGACAGGTGATTAACAAACCACGATACAAACCAAATACACGATCTGATTAGCTCAGCAACAGTATAACCGCGATTAACAAAGATAGCTGCAACCACTCTCTGATAAGACAATCAACAAGTTGCAGAGGCAACCAAGTCGGCTGTCATCACATGGGAGTTCTGTGAAGTGCAAAATTCATTTATTCAATTGAATAGTGTAATAGGTAAATATCAACAGCAAGACCTGAGACACGTGATATATCATGTGTACACTGTGACTGTTGGCTGGAATGAGCAATTCACTGCCTGACTACACAACCACTCGCGACTATGTCTCTGTTTGGGGTCTTCTCGTTTATCCACCACCTATTGTTCTAGGTGGACAAGTCACTGAAGCGGAATAATCCTCAAGACAATAGATGTCCCTGAAATTTTGTTCCCTGTGAAATAAGATCCCCCCTTGAATGTAGTAGTAAAAAAGTAAGTCTTTCTACATTTTTTTTTATTTCAACAATACATACAATATCAAAATTAACAATACATTCAATATCTATGACAATCCTCAATAGCCTGTTAAATGGGATACTGCATCCCAATATGCATATACATCCATATGGCCAGCCAAGAATTGCTGTTTGATGTTACATAATCTGTTTGTTAAATTGACATATTTAACTTTCTTGCGAAGGAGGTTTGGCACCTCCTCTTAATTGCATACATGATGCCTCTACGTAAGATTGTTCTTTTTTCAAGAATTCCAATAATCTTGAAGATATTGGGATGGTTTTCTAAACAGGAAAGCTTCCT